TAAGTAGGAGGAAAGAAATAATGAAGATCAAAGCCAAAATTAATGAAAGATAGAATAAAAAATACAAAGGATATAAAGATGAAAAAGAAGATATCACAAGAGATATCACTTGAAATCCAGAGGATTATTAGGGAATATTTTAAAATCTGTGTCCCAATAAATTAGAAATTGTAAAAAGAAATAGATAAATGTCTAGAAACAGTACCTACCAAAATTGAACCAAGAAGATATAGAAAAGCTAAACAGACCAATAATAATGAAATTGAAGCAGAAGTAAAAAAGACTTCCAACAATAAAAAGCCTAGAACCATATGGATTCACAGATTAATTCTACAAGAATTTTAAAGAACTAAAGTCAATGCTCCATATATTATGCCATGAAACAGAAAAGGAGGAAACACTTCCAAACTCATTCTATGAAGCCAGTATTAGCCTGATACAAAAACCAGATAAGACACATCAAGAGAAGAAAACTACAGACCAATATTCTTGGTGAACACAGATATAAAAATCTTTAATAAAACATTAGCAAATCAAACTCAACAATATATTAAAAAATTATACACCATGATCAAGTTGGTTTAATTCCAAGTTTGCAAGGATGGTCTAACATACGCAAATCAATAAACAATACACCACAAAAGTAGAACCAACAACAAAAATCACATAATTATTTCAATAGATACAGAAAAAAAACTTTGACAAAATTCAGCTCCTATTCGTGACAAAAATTTCAAAGAAACTAGTGCTAGAAGATGCCTCAAAATCATAAAGGCTGGATATGTGACCAACCCAAATCTAATATCATACGTAATGGGGTAAAACAAAGTATTTCCTCTAAAAGTAAGACAAGGATGATCATTTTCACTCCTGTTCAATATCATATCTGAATTTTTAGGCAGAGCTATTAAGCAAGAGAAGGAAATAAAAGTGATAAAGTGAAATCATCATGTTTGCAGATAAAATCCTACAAGATCTCAAAAGTTTCACGATAAGAATTCTAGAGCTGATAACAAATCCAGCAAAGTAGCAGGATATAAATTCATTATACAAAAAAATCAATAGCTTTTCTATGCACCTATACTAAATCCACTGAGAAGGAATTCAGGAAAGCAAGTCTGTCACAACAGCTTTAAAAATATGTAGGTAAAAATCTAACCAAAGAGGTAGAAGACCTCTAAAACAAAAATTATTGAACACTAAAAAATGAAATAGAAAAAGACACTAAACACTGCTCTCATGTGTTACTAATTATAATAATAATAATAATAATAATAATAATAATAATGAAAAATACACAAAACAATAAAAATAGCTCCTTTGTTCATGAAAAGACAGAATTAATATCATGAAAATGGCTATATTGCCAAAAGTAATCAACAGATTCAATGCAATCCCTATCAGAATATGATGACATACTTCACAGAACTATGATAAACAGTCCTAAAATTCATACGGAAGAACAAAAGACCCAGAATAGTCAAAGAAACTCTAAGTAAAAACAGCAACGCTGGCGGCATTACAATACTCAACTTCAACATACACTACAGTGCTATATCAATGACAACAGACACATAGACCAGTGGAATAGAAGACACAGAGAAAAACTCATACAGATACAGTCATCTGACAAAGTCTCTCAAGATATACACTGGGAAAAGGACAGCCTTTTTGACAAATGCTGTTGGGGAAATGGAATATTCATATGTAGAAAACAATACTAGATCCCCATCTCTCATGCAACACAAAAGTCAACTCAAAATGGATCAAAGACATATGTACAAGACAAGAAATTTGCAACTGCTAGAAAACACAGGGCAAACACTCCAACATAGAAGAGCAGGCAATGACTTCCTCAATAGGATTCTTAAAGCTCAGGAAACAATACCAAGAAATGGTAAATGGGATGCCATCCCATTAAAAAGCTTCTGCACAGTAAAGGAAACAAGAGTATGAAGTGAGAGCCTAGGAAATGGAAGAAACATTTTTTCCAGCTACTCTTCTGACTGAGGATAAATATCCAGAATATATAAAGAACTCAAAATACTTAACACCAAAAGCAACCTCATCAATAACTGCGAAAATGAAAAAAAAGACATTTATCAAACAAAAAAATCGTACAAATGACCAACAAATATATAAAAAAATGTTCAACATCTTTAGCAATCAATCAGTGAAATGCAAATCAAAACCATACTGAGATGTCATCTCACTATAGTTAAAATAAAACTCTTCAAGTATACAAATAACACTAAACACTGGATAGGATATGATCAAAAGGAACTTCGATATACTGTTGATAGAATTGTAAATTAGTACAAGCAGTATGGAAATCAGTATGGAGGTTCTTCAAAAGACTAGAAATAGAACTACTATATGATCTAGCTATCCCACTCCTCAATACTTATCCAAAAGAATTAAAGTCAGCATACCATGCTTATAGCAGTGCAATTCACAGTAGCCAAGTTATGGGCCCTACCTATGTGCTCCTCAACAGATGAATGAATAATAAAAAATTTCTATGTATATACAGTAGAGTTAAGTCAACAATAAAGAAGAAAAAAATATGTCATTTTCACGAAAATAGATGAATTTGGAGAGCATAATGTTAAGTGAAATAAGCCATACTTTGTCAAGGGGTGTAAGTTTTCTCTTTATGTGGAAGCTAGAGAGGAAAAAAAAAGGTGACCTATTAAAATAGAAGGGGGACCAATCGGGTAGAGGAAAGAAATCAGGGTGAGGAAGGAGAGGAAGGGAAGAGAAGGTACAGGAGAATTAAATTGATCAAATTATGTTGTGTGCATGTACAAATCAGTCACAATGAATCTCACTATTGTGAATAATTACTATGCACCAATAAAACATTTTTTWAAAAGTAATCACCTCCTTAGAAGCAGAGGTAAATCTTATCCTTTTATTGAAGTAAAACCTCTTAGTAGATAGTCTTAGGTGATACAACATGGAGCCTACTCTGTACAGTTAAAAATGTGTCTATGACAGGCTAATAAATAGGTTGTCAGCTGAAAAACAATTACTGGTTTCACAATATATAAGAACTGATAAATATATATATATATATTTAAAATTATTTCTTCAAATGAGATTCCAGTATATAAATTACTGAATGATTGAAGACAGGGCAGGGAGCTCAGAATCCTGAGAATCTACCTTTTCTCCAACCCTAGGTAACAAAGAGCCCTGGGGCACTGCATAACTCCACAGCTTGGAAATCATAGCTTTATTCTGACATCAACATTTTGCAAATGAAGAAATCCAATCCTAAAGAGACAAAGTTGTTTAATGGAGTTTCTGAACCCAGAGGATGCTTCACAAATTGACCAAATTATGTTATATGCATATATGAATATTTCACAGTGAATCATTCTGTTTTGTATAGATACAATGCACAAATAAAATGAAAAAAAGCATAAAATATCCTGACCAGTGTATCTAATATCTGCCATGAGGAGGGACAGGATTCAACCTTACACTCAAGAAATGGATACCAGGTAGAGAAACAAAGAAACTAACAAACCCAACTCCTCTCCTAAACTTCCAGATGGTTTAAGAAGAAAATTTCCAATTCTAAACACAAGGTATACAGGTTCTTGTGGAACTGTCTTCATAGAAACCAAAAGCATATTATACTGTATACTTAAAAATGTTTGAGAATAGCTTCTAAGTGTTGTTATTGAAAAAATGATAAAGGTGTCATAATGGATGTGGTGATTAGCTTTAACATTCCATTATGCATACATATATCTAAACATCTGTTTTAGTCATTTTTTTTTGTCAGACCAAGAGATCAGACAAGAACAATTTTAGAGGAGGAAAAGTTTATTTGGTGCTCATGGTTTCAGAGGTCTAGTTCATAGAGAGCCAGCTCCATTGCTATGGACTCAAAGGGAGAGAGAACATCATGTCAGAAGAGTGTAGTAGAGGAAGAAAATTATTCAAGACATGGCCACCAGGAAGCAGAGAGAGTGTTCCACCCAAAAAGGAAAAACTATAAAACCCACAGACACAGTCTCAATGACCTACCTCCTCCAGCCACATCCTATGTGCCTAGAATTACTATCAAGTTAATCCTTTTAAGTGAATTCCAGAGGTGTTACCAGGCCCACAGTGGAGTTCCTCACGCTAACACTACAAATGTTCTCAACCCCACATGCTTCACTCAGAGCCTTGGCCCTGTGGATTGTTAGCCAGGAAACTTCTGGAACACTTTTGGGTAGCCAGAGCCAACTTGCACCTATATTTTATTTCCCTATTATTAATAGAAGATGTCAAAAGTGTAAGGTAAATAAATGCTTTTGTCTCTGGTCTTCCCAAGTGGATGATTAGAGGAGGTTGACAAGTTTCCTACCCTTTTAATCAAATGACTCCCATGATTGTTTTTCCATATTTCACTACTTTCCTAGTTTGCTCAGGCCCTCATGAAAAGGCTCCTTATTTTCATAATTAGAACATTAAACCAACGTAACAATATGCAGGTGCTGAAACCTGAGTATGCAAGCCCAAGAGTTTCCTGGTCCATACGRGAAGAAAACCACATGGGGAAGTGGACATGCTCATTTCAGATATACTTGTTTCAAGTCATTTTCAAATAATGTCACAAGTAAATACTCCTGTTGAATAACATTATGTAAATTCTTTATCCTAAATTTTAACCATCTGATGTTTCAACTCCCATTTTTTGTCAGTTGATATTTAATCAAATATAGCATCTGCTATGACAATTCAAACAATCCAAGTACACCTTCACAAACCTCAGGCTTATGAAAGGCTCTTTGTAATTAATCAGTGGATTCCATGCAGGAGCTCTGACACCAAAGAGAACCAGAAAGACCAATTCACAAGAGTTTAGTAAACAGGAAGAAGTCTTAACCCAGAAGTGAGAGTACCCCTGGACAAAACATCACAACATTCAAAATCTTTTGCAAATGCGCTTCTTTTATTTTTCTGTGACACATAGATTGCATGTGTTTGTGTGAATTGTGGTTACACATATTAGGCAAGGTGGACACACATGATTTATACATTTCAAAGCACACTAGTGTGAAAATAAATTACCTTTCATACCCAAACTCCTTCACTGCTCTCTTTCAAATGAGTTGACTCTTCTTTTCCCTTCCCCATGAGGCCACTATTCCTGACAATTTTTGATCACTTTTGTCATCATCTTTTGTGGCCTCAAATCTTCCCTGCTTATCTTGCACCTATATTTTATTTCCCTATTGTTAACAGAAGATGTCAAAAGTGTAAGGTAAATAAATGCTTTTGTCTTTGTGGTCTTCCTGAGTGGATGTGGTTTCCTCTCTTATATCATGCTCTTAGCATATTTTTCCCCTCTCCCTATAAGCAACTAGCAGATGCTCTTTATGAATGCTTTCTTGAGGTACTGCTTAGCTTCATGACCAGGAAATGTCATGACAAGTTTTTTCTACATCCGTAGCAAGAAAGTAGGGCCCATTCCATAATTACATACACAGACACACACACATACACACACTGCATGGGACTAGTTCATCCTCATATGATGAATCATCTGTACCATACTAACCACACACATTAAGACAATCCATAGATTTTCCACACCTCTCTACTGTCTATCCTACAGAGCTAAAATTTAATGTTTAGGATTCACAGACAAAACATGATCAAATCAATAAAATATCTTATCCATACTGGGCAAGAATCAATAACAATGCACAATAATTTTATGGTCATGAAGTATAAGTATCTTCAGAGTTGCTCAAAGTTAGGATCTTGCTCTAAAAATTTATGGAGAGCTCTTCCATGTCAATGAAAGGAAATCATGTAGGCTGATGCTTTTGCTGGTCACATCAATTTTTAACACCTATTGGGAAACAAAGAAAAAGTATTGGGCATTTGTTTGAAATTTTCTACACACAAACATATCAGGTGCAGGACAATGGTTCCCATAAACCCCTAATATTTTCATAATTCATGGCCTAGCTGCCAATTGTCCTAACATTTTCAGGTGAGAGAGGTTTTTTCTAATTTCCTAGAGTGCAAAGATGGTTCAGTGATAGGGATAATGTGATACAGAACCACTGATGAGAAATGACTACATAGACAAGTTGGAGAGAATGCCCGCTTTTCCACTGTTCTGAGATGTAGCTTTTGCCTTGAAGTCCTCCTTTTATTTTTTCTTCTCCTATTCCCTCCACTCTGATGATTGCCTAGTAAGAGTCTAATACTCCTGCTTTTTTCTAGGCAAATACCTTCCAGAGGACCTTACTGTGTGTAGGTCTTATCCTGCATGTCAGTCCATGAGTTGGCTCACAACAGAATTAGGCAAAGTCCTTTATGACCTCTTAGTAAAGTTGGAGAAGTTGGTTTGACAAGAAAATGACAGTATGAGGAAACAAAAAATATAAAATCTAATAAAAACTTTTGTTTCAGACCTAGAAATCAGAGAAAATATATTTTTCCTTTCTATATGATATAAAAACAATATAATAGAATATTTAATTATACAATAATAAGAGATCTGAATTCAAATTAAAAAAAATAAAATAAACATGTGTTTTAAGTTGTTTAAGGTATTTAATACTTCTTCACATTCAGGGTCTACCTTTTCAAATTACTTTGTGGTAGAATTATTAACGTATCTACAGCCAACATTTTCTTTTGGATTAATTGCTTACAACATTAAAATGTTTAGATAAAACTCTATTGTCTATGGAAACTTCAAAGAGCTTCCTACAGGTTTAAAATTTTTTTTAAAGTAATTGATATGAAAAACTTATTTCATAGTTTTATTTTCCTTTTTGTGCGGAATTTATTTCTTTTTGAAATAGTGGAACAACTTTTAGCTGGTATTGTTTCCTTATATTTGATGAAATATGGTGGTTCAAGTTGTTTGGGAGACTGGTCTCTGATACAGAGATGAAGGAGTAAGGACAAAGTTTTACAGACAAGACAAACATGGAAAGGAAGGATCCAGACCCTGCATTCCAGAGAATGATAAACCATGAATTGTCCCTTTATCTCCATTCTGTCCAAGCAGACATGCTGAAAATGGAGATTCCTGAAAGATCAGGAGAGAATAGCATTTGGAAAGGAACCAGCTTTGCATGAGGCCTATTAAGGTTGGGAAATATCACTGGACTTTTCACGGGCCACCAACCTGTGTTGTAGAATTGTAGGTGAAGGGAGGTATTTCATTCCCGTTCCTCAAAGTGATGCTCACACTGGAAACAGAGACACTGCCCACACCCCAGATTTCAATGTAGCCCAATTTCAATGGTTTTGTAGCAACAACATAATTGTTAAAAATTATATGACTCTGCATTGTATTCTGTCAAATTGGAAATAAAACAAAAGGGAAAAAAAAGAAAATTAGTTTTTCCCCCCCAACCTCTTTTTAGGCACAAATATAAACCTTGAATAAGCAAACTCTAGGTCATCATCTTGTGTCCTAGCAGAGATCATGATTTCAGCATTCTATCCCCTGTTGCCAACTACATCTACTTTGCACAAATGCCTGCAGGGTCTTTAGAATTTCCTTGAGCTATAGGAGACAGTCTCAAGCATCAAGAACTTATATTCTATGCATGGAGAAGTCACAAAATGTGCAGACCGTTTTAAAGCAACACTGGAACAAGGCTACACTATATAGAAACAGTCTATCTGTGAAATGGTAAACCTAAATAGGTTACTGATGAGATGTGAATAGTTTCCATCACAGCAAACTTCCTGGGAATATGGGGAATCTCCATGTGCAGTTTGGAGGAAGGAAGGACGTAAATTAACAAGATGAGCAGGGAAGACATTTTAGGTGCCCTTCTGGCATTGAACATCCTACTAAACCAGCAGAACTCCACTTTCCATCACACTCACCTGGCTGGCAGAAAAGTGGGCCAAATAATATAATCCATTTTCAATGGTATCTGTAAACAAACGACAGGAAAATATGACCAAGGCTTATGCCAGAGAATTCTAATTGGCTACCTGTCTTGGTTGAGGGAGCAGGGATTAATTTTGTGATTTTTTTGTTTTACTTTTCTTCTCTGCTCATCTCCATTTTGTAATGTGACTCCTCCTTGTGGAGACCAGTCAGACTAGCAGTCAACCCAGTTAACACAAACACCAGTTTCATGCCACTTCTCTTCCTTGTGGTCTACCACTCCCAGCCTCTTCCCAGTCATCCCAGGACTTCCATATTCTTTTGCTAGTATATACTTATGCATACATGCATGCAGATACACACATACACAAGCATCAAGACTGGTGCATTGGTGGGTTTATCTTGAGAGGTATCAGGCAGTTTTCTAAATGCAATCTCCAGGGAACAAATAAAAGCCTTCCTTATCCTTTACCTTTAATTTATGCCACCATCCCAGGGAGAGTATAAATTCTGGCACATCTGGTGAAGGTGGACTGGTTGGAATCCTTGCCTCAGGTGCTCTCATTCTAGTCCCCATCCTTGTCATTTTCTCCCTTATTCTAGCCTCTTTCTCGTTTATCACCATGCTGTCAGTATTCACTGGCTATCCTCACCAGAAAAATATAACAATGTAAATTTAAATTAATTAAAACAAAATTAAATAAAAAATCAGATGCACTTGTCACCTTGTGCCACATATGACTAGTACTGCATTAAACTAAGAAGATGTAGAGCAACTCCACCACTGCAGAAAGTTCTACTGAATATGTGAGTCATCCTTCTAAGAAGCTACACATTTCTGTAAACTCTTAATGGAAAAGTTTCCTCCAAAATAGCACAACTGAGAGAGGCATTGTCTTGCTGGGACAATAAGCCATAAAGCTAAGAAATATGTCCCTTATCACAACGGACTGATGAATAATGGTGAGAGATCTAGCATTAAGCATCATTTGCATGAGGCACAAAGATCATGTACAAAATGGATTACACACTTGAAGTAGCAAACAACTATATTTTTAAATGCAAAAATATTTTAACATAAAAAAGGGAAAAAAATCAGGGACATATGATGTCTAGAAGCCCAGGCAATTGCACTGACCTGAATCCCAGGTGACCCGTACTCACCGATGCTTTGCCCATCATCCCAAAAGAGCCAGCCCTCAGCAGATCCCTCATCATCCAAAGCAACCTTGAAGCCCATGAATTTCTGGCGGCTGCAGTGTGGTGAGAGAGAGGCATTAGCTAAAAACAAAGCCCCAGTCACAGCCACAAGCCAAAAGTGTTCTCATAAAATCAAAGAAGCAAAATTAAGAATGGATTCTAAGATTCAAGAGACTTGTAACTCAGCTCTTGTTCAGTCTCCATAAAGCTGGATAATCTCATGTCATGAGTGAATTATTTGTGAATGAATCAAGGGAGATTTTCCTTCAAGGCTCTTTAAGAAATGAAAAGAAAACCAACTGGGTTCCCCCTTCCTGTTTCTCAGGAAAATACGAAAGCTGGAATCCATCTTTCATGGTGTATTTCCTATAACCCATGAAGTGGGTTCTTTTTACAAATATCCTCAGCTCATCATTTTTTATCCGTATCTGTGGAATCAAATGAGTAAAGATCTAAGATCTTTAGGAGTGATATCAGACAGATGTGGATTTTAGTCCCTGTCCATCTACTTACTAGCTGTGTGACTCTGACACTTAGCCTCCTAAAGCTCTGCATTGCCATCTGTAAAATCAGAATAAGATTCCCTAACTCACTTTTCATTTTTGTAAGGAAAAACTTTCTTAAATCTCCAAGCAGAGCTCCCCATATTACTATAGTTCTAGACACAGAGTAATGTTCACTTGATGTTAGTTATTGCTAATTATTATAGACATCTAGGTCAATAATTTATACCTGTTTTATATGAGGAAATCTCAGACTTGGGGATGAGTTGTCATGTGGCTTCAACAAGTTTGTTTTTGGAACTGGGGATTGAACCCAGGGTCACTTAACCACTGAGCCATATACCCAACCCTTTTTTATGTTTTATTAGAGACAGGGTCCTCCCGAGATGCTTAGGGCCTCACTAAGTTGCTGAGGCCAGCTTTGAACTTCCGATCGTCCTGCCTCAGCCTTGTGAGTCACTAAGATTACAGGTGAGCACCACCGTGCTCAGTTTAGCAACGTATTTCTTAGATCATATAAGATCCAGATAATCTCCTAAAATTCTCAGGAATTATGATTGCCCTATTGCTACTTCTATTTGAAATATCACTTCTGAGACCTATCATCTCATCAAGTAAATACAAAAGAGCTGTTAATTAATTATTCAGAGTTCAACATTTGAAAAAAGATGAAACACAAACAAGCAAACAAAAAGACAGGTGCTTAGTAAAACCACTCTTGGCCTTACTAGTGATGTTTCAGGGATTGCTGGCATTCATTAGAAATTAGTGAGCAAGCTAGGGGCAGTGGCAAACTCTCAGGATCCCAGCATCTCAGGAGGCTGAAGCAGGAGGATCACAGATTTAACAAGACCCTGGCTCAAAGTAAAATTTAAAAGTTCTGGGGATGCAGATCAATAATAGCACTCACTCTTGAGATCAATTCCCGGTACCAGAAAAAAAAAAAAAGAAAAAAAGAAAAGAAAGGAAACAAATCAGTGAGCAAACAGGTAGGCAAAGTGGAACGCTAGCCCCATACTCACCTCAAGTGTGTGTTCAGTGCAGGCTCCTGCCAGGGCAGGATGTAGCCCCCACGGACATGAAGGTTAATGTGGTCAAGAGGGGCTGCCAAGTCCTTCCACATTCCCCTTGCATTAATATCCACACCCTGTTGGATGAAGAAAAGAGGAGAAGATGAGGGAGAAGACCTTGCCTCCCTGCACAGTGCATCTGGAAGACACCTCCTCTACCTCACTGATYGTGCTACCTGCTCATCACCACTCAGCACCACCTGATGGTAACCTTCTTCCTTCCCCCAGCTGCTGTGTGAAGTCCTGCTTGGCCTCTATAATGTCCTGTGAGGGTCTCTTGTCTTTTTGGGTAGCTACACCACATCCCACCTGAGGTCCTAGAGTGGATCAGAGCCCACACTCACCCTACAACTTGTTGGTATGTCACAGAGCACAGATAGAGGAGGCTTCACAGCCAGCCATTCCTTCACTTCTTGCTAGTTCCTCACATACTCTCCACAATGCAGGTCTGAAAATTCTCTTTCACCAAGGGTCTCTCGAGTCTTCATCTTCCCCCCACTCTCCACTTCCACCTACTTCACCAACATTTTGGCCTCATACTTCACTGAAAACATCAAAGTGAGCTGGCATACTCTGTGTTTCCTCTTTTTCTATTCAATATCTCTACCTTCATGATTGACGTCTTTAACTTGCTTCATGTGTGAGAGCGGCTCTCTTGTCTGAGCCATTCACTGAAAATCCTAAGGGACCTTCCACATTTTCTCACCTAGAATAGGGCTTCCCAGTGTTGGCACTACTGCCAATGAGGGCCAGATCCATGTTTAATGGTGCCCTCTGCTGTTTTGATGTTTAGCAGCATCTTCAGTGTCTATCCAACAGACACCATTCTCCCACCCCACTGTGACTCCCCAAGGTGACTCTGCACATTGACAAATATCTCCTGATAAGCAACCCTCAATTTGAGAACTGTGATTTTAGAGGTAAGAAGCAGTGAATACTGACAATTAATCTTGTACATGGCTGTATTCCAATAAAACTTTATCTGCTAAAATAGGGGAACACCTGATTTCACTAGGGCCTCTGCTTGCCAATCTCCATACTAACAAAGAATAGGTACCCATAACTAGTGAAGATTAATTAAGTAGACATTTCYTCATTGATCCCAGCCATGTAATTTTCATTTTAATTAAACACAAAAGCCCTTTTTCTCTTAATGTCTGCTTCAATTAGCTTTTGGCTTTCCACATCAATTTTTATATTTCATTCCTCAACTAAATTTTCTATTTAAAAGCCTTGTGTAAAATCAACCATTCCAGAAAAATTCTTTCCCCTACCTCGTGGTACTGGAGAGTCAACACAGGGTCCTGATCATGCTAGGTAAGTACTTCACTATGAGCTACACACCCTCCTAAAATTTTTATTTATTAATCCTCATACTTCATTTTCTTGCATATGGTACATATAATTATTTATATGCATATTAGCATTTATGACAAGCAAATATCAGCTCCTCATTACATGGTGAACTCCACCGGGTCAGGGCCAAGGCTAGGCAAATTGAAAGAAGTTGGCTGCTCTCTCCCTAGAAAGCCCTGGCAGGAAAGCCCACAGTAGCGTCCTAAAATATCAGCACCCTAAGGAAAGACCCAGTCTGGCAACAAAGAAGAAAAGACAGGGGAGTCAGTGCTCCACAGCACATAGAAGAGGAGAAACACCTCCATTCTCCCCCTACATTTCCATCCAATCCCACTGCATCCCCTCCAATGAGAGGGACAGGCACATGCTCTGCTCTCTGCCTTTCTCCTATATTTCTAATCCTCCACCTTGTTCTACTCAGGAAGTCAGAGGAGACATGGTTTCAGGACAAGGACCCCCTACCACTTTGATTCTTCCTCAAGGGTCAGACTCTGACTCATCTATTTCCCTCAGGAGACTACCCTAAAGCTGATTCCAACACCCTGCACTCCTGGCTAGCCTCTGGAACTCACAGTATCCCAGAACCTATACATCAAAGAACTGTTTATGGGCTACTCATTTGTAAGTCGATGTGCACAACTTAAACTTCTAAGTGTGGGGATTCAGGTCTATATGCACTTTACACACTAGCTCATAGTTTGCTTAATTAGGTAATTAGTGTGAAGCAACTGCTATTTGTTGTTGTTTGTTTCTTGTTGTACTGGGGATTGAACCCAGGGGCATGCTACCACTGAGCTAAGTCTCTAGCCCTTTTTATTTTATTTTGAGACAGTGCCTCACTAAGTTTCCCAAGATAGCCACAAACTTGTGATCCTCCTGGCTCCGCCTCATGAGTAGCTGTGATTAAAGGCATGCACTGCTTATGTGGCTAGGAGCAACTTCTCTGTGAGTATCTGTATTATAGAGGCTAACACAAAATAAAAAAGAACAAGAGGAAAAGGAGTGGAATTTATAGCAGGAGCAGATAAAATTAAAAACTATAGTTATAGCACAATATCCCATCAACAGATGAATGGATGAAGAAAATGTTGTATATACACATATTAGAGTTTTATTCAACCATAAGGAAAAATGAAATTATGGCATTTGTAGGAAAATGGGTATAACTAGAGACAATTATTATAAGTAAAATAAGTCAAACTCAAAAGGTTAAAGGTCATATGTTTTCTCTCATATGTGGGAGATAAAGAGGATAAAGGGAAAAATGGTGGGGAGATCTTATGAAAATCAAAGGGAGATCAATAGAAGAAAGGAACCAGGGAGTAGGAGGTGGGGAGGGAGGGAAGATGTGCTGGGGAGTAATACTGGTCAAATTATAATTTTATATTGTATATTATGTGCATGCACAAATACATAACAATAAATCCCAACAACACATACAACTATAATGTACCAATAAAAAATGTGGAAAAAAATATATGTAATATTATATAGGTATAAAAAAAGAGGGTACTAGGGTCTCACCTCAGTGAATAGTGATGGTATAAGGAAACCCAGAAACTCCCAAGTACAGAACACTAACAACAAGCAAAGCCCTGAATAAGATACTGTACATGATACTCCACAAGGATTCTGTAGAGAGAAGTCTTATTCCATTTGCAAGTGAGAAAACAGGATACAAAGGTAAAAACCACACAGCAAATGGCTTACACTGCCAGCACTTGGCCAGAGGTCTGTGAGGTCTAAAACCATTGTACTCTGCAATTTTCAAAGGATGTACAAATGTTTAGAAAAACTTACTGAGTAGTAATCATACCAGCGGGCTCCAGGGAAATATGCAGTGACACTTCTAGCATTCTAAAATTAAATACAAACAAGCTGTGAGCAGTGGGTACAGTTGCTAAGACACAGTAACCAATTTGCATAGAAAAATAGTTAGAGCAATAGTGATTATATTGAACAAACTCAGCTCTCTAAAATTAAACAGAAACAAGTTGTGAACATGAGGCACTGTATTCTGCAACCTAGCAGTAATATGGGCAGGAAAGGGATATCAATTGTGGTGGCYGATACCCATCTGTCTCAGGGCCCTGAAGACCAGCACTACTGGAAAAGTCTTCCTTCATTCACCCTTTGCAAACTCAGAAAAGTTCAAAACTTCCAAACAAGAGGTGTCCACATAAGGCTTGGAGATGCAGGAAGTCACAAATATATTATGATTTGCTCACAGATTCACAGAAACAAATGCTAAAGAGAAAACACCTAAGGATGGATGGGAATCAGCACATTCCAGAAGCAGGTTAAATTATGAAGAAGTTGTAATTGTTACTTGGTGTTTTAATCAGAATCCTAAGCACCAATGCACAAGGGGAAGAAATGACCTTTGCTGCCTGCAGGACCTCACAAGAAGAACAAGGGCAGGGCTGGCTGAGGTAAGGAAGGCTCGCTGGACTGCTTTCAATGGTGACAGGACTGTGATGAATTATTCACATGAAACCCCACCTGAACCAGGATCCCTTATTTTATTTATTAAAGTGACAGTATATCTCAACACATCATAAGGCTACCATTTATTCTTGATTTTCCGACGTACCTGAACTGCTAGGAACTAGCAGAAACTAGAGGGAACTGAGGCCAGGACACCTGTGTGCTGCACTTCTGCTCAGAAGGAGAGGAAGACACAAAGGTAGAACAAGCAGCCATGTCCTGGGATCTACAAGCACCAGGCTTCTTCTCCTGCCCCTATTCAAACACCCTCACACCTGGGATCCACCACACATCTGAGGCCTCCATACTCACAGCCTGCAGCACGGGACTGACAAGGAAGGCTGGACCTAGCAGGAACTGATCATCTATGTCCCATGTCACCTGGTCTGACACAAACCTGGGAAGGTAAGAAGATGTCACAGTCAGAGTCACAGCCCAAGTCCCCAATGAACAACTCAAGTTCAGAGGCAGGTCTCTCATTCAACTCCATCTTATGTCATCCTTAGTCTTTGTCTAGATTGATCAGGAATACACAGGCTTCAATATTCTACATGACAAGTTACCTTGACATCACAACTATGTTCAGATATGTTCAGTGACTTGAAAAATTCTTCACTATTTCCAGATGGCACATTCAAAATGCAAGGAAGACACTCAAAGCTTTTTTTATGATGTCAACTCATTTGGCCTTAATTATTTCAATAGCTACACCACATACAGAGGTCTGTGTATATACAAATTAGAAAGAAATCAAGCTGTGTTGCATCATTTCAAATATTTTTCACTCAATAAATAGCCTTTCTCAATAAGACATATTGCAAATAAAACAGACTACAAAGCGTGGACTCTGCATGGAGAGCTTATGAAAAAATAAATCTTATCTTCATTGAGAAGAATTATTAGCATCAATTGCCACCCTACAAAATCAAATAAACTATGCATCACTCCTTGGGACCCCAGCTGGACACTTACTCGTGCAGAAGAGGCCGCACCACAGTGCTGCCCTCCGTGTGGGCCTTGAACATCAAGGTGTACAGATATGGCAACAGGGTGTATCGGGTCTCCATCACACTCCTGGAAATATTCACAAAGGCAGCATCCCAGGACACAGGGTCTTGTCTCTAAGGAATAAAAGCAAAGGTGTTGAGAGCCCAACCCAGGGACCCTAGGGAACAAAGAAAATAAAGGAAAGATTGACCCAAGTACATCACACACAGCTAAGATAAAGGTGATTAAATACACTTAATAGTCTGATAATAGTCAGTGAGGATCTTCCAGGAGACCTCATGGACTTTGCCAAAGAAACACTTCAGGGATATACTTGGAGCAATCCGTGCTACACCTAAAGAATCCTCTGATAATCCTGAGTATTTTGGCAATTGTGAGGAGCTTTGATGGCTTTGAAAATCTCCCAGGAACAAAGATGGCCTGGACTGKGACTCCAAGGTGAAGGCTGCACAGCATGTGAGGCAAAGCACGTGAGGAAGGAGGAAGGTCCTACCCTGGTGCCAATGGTGTTGTGGTTCCTGGAGAAGGGGTAAAAGGCTCCCAGCTGCATCCAGCGAGCACACATCTCATACTCAGCATCTTGGAAGAACCCACAGATATCTGCTCCCGTCTGAAACCAGAGGAAATGAAACCAGCCTGTGGGTGATTGCTCAGGGGTGTCAGTGTCCTCTTAGGGATGAGGAGGAGCAAAGGTCACTTACATAGGAGATGCCAAAGAGGCTGAACTCCATCATGCCTGCAATGAGAACCACGGCTGTCAGGAGAGGCATGTGTGTGCCCTGCCCTCTCCTCCCTCCTTTCCCAA